AAATGAGTAGCACATAACATTAATATGCATTGAAAAAATTGTTTAATGTGGCAAAATGGGGGGGGGGGGCAAGTTCCCCCGTGCCACTACTCGATCTACCCCTGTTTTCCGCCTTAGAGAAGTCAAAATTGGCTAATTCAAAGTACTTTTCAATGCAAATATGATACACAAGATGACCTCGCCAACTGAATTCTAACATTAAGTTAATGTCTGGAAACAATTGCCTTAAGATTAAGAGGCTGAACCATAACCAATTTTAACTTACAGGAAGAAAAAAATGAACCTCTTCGCTAAACCCTGCCCATTGGATAATTGCAGCATAAATGTTTAACAATGTGCGCTTTTGGGATCGGACAACACATGCATGCAATTTTGGGAAAAGCACATAGCCTATAATTGGTCAGTTGTTAAGCTTGGTTGACGCACGAGATGGTAAGACAAACTCACAACATCCTAAATAAGATATTTTTTTAACATATAAACTTGGTACTGTATTGAGAAATCTGGATTAAAAACACAAGACTCACATTTTGAAATACACATTTGCATTTTTAATTCTGCCAGTTTAAAATTATTCTAAACCAAACCCAAGACTCAGCACTTGAGTGTGAGTTACAATGAAAGTCAATATAACAAAGTTAAAGAATAATAATAGGCCTAGAAGAAAAATTATTAAATTTTCTAACATATTATTTAAAAAAATCCAAACCCACACAAATATTTATTTAATTAAAATGTTTTCTACAAAAGTCATTCTAAAAAAACGGTGATTACCAAAGATTTATTCCAAGTAATAACTTTGTTGTAAACAATCAATTAGAATGGAGTTATTTTTCTACTCCGTTTAATATTCTGTCATGTTAAAAATGAAACCAAGTATAAACGATGATATAAAATCTGCAATCAATCGAAAGAATAAATATTATATATCTATTTACAATAGTTTATTTGTCCACCAGTCCCCTGTTCCCTTAGTATTTATTAATATATATGACAATCTGATCCAAAAAATAACAGGCGAGAGACTCCGGGGACATTCAAACAATAAGAATGCAAAATAATGTCAATATCATTGCTGGAATAATACAATCCCAAAGCAAAGGTATACATAATTAAGTCTACAGAAATGTTACCAAATTGGACCTGAAACGTCAATTTAAACATAATTTTATAAATTTACCTCCTTTGATTTATGAAAATGATAGGCCTAAATCTGTTTCTAACATTATATTTTAGAATATGGATCTTAATCAAATTAATAACAAGGTCAGCAAACCAATTGACAGCAAAATTTAGTAAAACAACACATTAATTGGCTTGACAGAATACAAAAAAACATCTAATCTGACAGCATATTGTTCATCAAATTCTTGGTATCAAGATTTAGCATTGTCTTATGTGGAGCATTGTGTCTTATTATTGGACTTGTTTAATCCCCTCATTTACATATTGTAGCATTTTTTTTTGGTAATCAGTGTCTAAGTAATCTCATCCCAATAAAGGTCGAAACGTCGAATCATTCAAGAGTAGTTCTTAATCGTATTTATCTAAATATTTATGAACAAAATATCAAAACGGTGACCAAGGATGGAGCACAAGAAAAAAAATCAAACCAACCAATTTGAATAATTATTTTATATTAGACCTGTAACTTCTAAGGTATTACACTGGCGGGGCGACACAATGTTGTGCGGGTGGGCCCAAAGGTACGAGTTCATGCGATTTCTTTCCAAAAATTGTGTAGGCCTAAAACTATACCATTCTGACACCCCACTATGATTATTTATAGACTAGTACTGCGCCCTGTTTTAACACGCTAGCGGTATGAATGCACCATTGACAGCCCCTTTGGTGAACGACGATAGTTGCTGGTACCGGGTCACCGGGTAGCACAGGCACGAAGGGACATTTAGGGGCGAAGAAAGTCCACGTACATATCAAGCCCCCTGAGCATCTTACATTAGATGGATATGTGCGCTATATAAAAC